ATCTACAGTGTTACTTTCAAACTAAACAACTTCCTGGAAAACTTTAATGCTGTAATTCGTATTTGGACAATGTTTGTTTGCCTAGAGAGACACCACTACAACAAGGCTCCATTGGTTTGGCTGGCTACATGTACATATTGGGGCATCCATCATCTTAATCTCTTTCATCAATTCCGCTCACATCTTACCATATCTGACAAGTATCCTGTTGAGAACGCCCATATTATCATTCGCTCAAAAACAAATGGCCATGACACAACTGAACAGCTATGCAAAAAGGCAAAATCCACGTTTCGAGCTAAACACACACAAAAACACATCAAGGAACATTTCACTCCACCTAAACTTCACAACCAACCATCTCAGAATCCTTTAAGCAAAATGTGCTGGCATACTATCAAAATTATTTGTGGATATATCAAGAAACATTGGGGAGGAAGAACTATTTTTGAGGGAAAAAAGTAGAGTGCTGTATTGCCCAAAGTATTTGGAAAAGATCAAGTCAAATGTAGGACACTGCCATTTGGCTAATGTGGTTTACACCAACCAGTACCAGATCGAGGTTATGACCTGCCAAGTTGTACAGCAAGAAACAGAGRAAGTTGGGGATTATTTGAGGGCTGTTCTCATTCTTACCATGAGGACTGCCTAAGTGATACCCACTTCTGTGTCCTCTGTCAGGAATTTCTGGCAGACAAAGCAAGATCACTAGCTGAAACTGCTAAAGATGCCATATTGAACCCCAATGAACACAAAGAAACTGAAACTGCGAAGTCTAGTGACAATTCAAAAAATGGTGAATCTGATTCAAATGATAACCTTGACTCAACAGCTCCTGGAGACATTGATTCTATTGTAAATGATATTAAGCTAGGCAATGCATCGATATCTGCCAAACCCTCTATTCCATGTCCACCAGACACACCTCCTGCAACAATAAGTACTTCTGACCCAATACCACGGCAGCAGTATGCCTCTAACAACAGACATATCCTAAAGTGTTCTCAATGAGGACACCCACGAAAAGGACACACTCGCCCTAAACAAGGACCTGTCAAGTGTTCAGGATGCAGCGGAGGAGTATGTTCAAGAAAGCCATCACAGTCACCTCTACCATAGTAAAATAGTTAAATTAACTTAACTAAGTTAATATGTTAATTATCACTTCTAATACATCACATGTAACAATGTGACAAAAAAACTGCTAAATACAAACAGGTTTAATAATGTCTTGTCCGATTTGGCCAGCTAATTCAATATGACAGGATGATAATAGCATTAGTGAGGCTCAGCATGATAGAAATACTTGTGTGATACTCTTCCTAGATTTCTCACAATAACATATTAATARATATTCATTAGCTATGAAATTCTAGGCTTAATTTAGCAGGCAATATTCCCGAAAATATACCACCGATTACTTTGAAATAAAAACAAATACTTAGAAATGAGTTCGATACGCGTATTGAACGTTCAACAACGCTTGTCGAGTGTTAAATTCAATAAGAATTTTACCAGATACCATGCCTAGCAAAAGTGTGGTCATAATTTCAAGAAAGCATCGGAATATTTTCTCCGATTTTGAGGCTAATAAAACCCACAAAAAACAAAGAAGGAAAGGACGATAAAACTAGTTCTAATGTCCGAACTGTGATACTCTTTCTGCTATTACGGGAAATTCACCGTCAACTAAGTCTAAAATAAGGTTTCACACATAATATCGTAACATTTCCGAGCTGGATTTCTCTGAAAGAGAACCAACGATTTACATTCTTATATGTTATGAACAAACTAGAGAAATAAAACTTACCATAAGACAGGCTTTTGAAGCAATAGTCTTCGTTATATATCAGATATCCACCTCGAAAAACCCAAGCAAGCCAGAACGCGCTGGCGTCAGTCCCGTAAATGGATAGCAGCTTTGCATATTTGTTTAGCAATTTAGAACTCATCTGTGTTCTTTCACTCGCTGATTCCAGCCACAATTACACATCAAAAGCCCATTTAGCTATTTCTTGGATTGTTGAGTGTAGAAAATCCTTTTACGTGCACAACTGGCGCACGATTTGACACACTCGGCAATCTTTCTCCGCCATTGATCACCAAAACAAAGCAATAGCCTAAGATGCAATGCGCATGCGCAGCAGAATACTCCCCTGTTGCGCTGCAGCAGTTCAAGGGCTTTTACGGATGATTTATTTTACCTGATTTAATTTAATTTTTTGAAGTTTCGTTTAATATATTTTTACTCGATCCATGATTTGGCTTTGTGAATTTCTGAACGCTTTTTGTGGTGGATATATCTAACTAATATTAAGTCGTTTTTCTTCATTGATTTCTTTTGACGATATAGTAAATTGTTTTATGTTAGTATCCTGAAGGCGTAGGTCTTAAGAACTAAACTTAGGGTTTGTTATCCATTAAACATGCTGGGGTATGCAAAAATAAATTCAATATTTAACAATAATTAGCCGAAGGCGAAGTGGATATCGGGGAAATAACCGAAACGAGGTTGAGGTTAATATTCCCGATATTCACTGAGCCTGAGGTGAATAACTGTTTTAGTATAAACACACAGGTGATTCTTTAAAAAAAAAATAAAAAAGAAGATAAAAGGCACATTTAAAATTAAGAAACAGCAAAAAAGCGGCTTGCCGCCATTTTGGATTATCGCTTAAGTTTCTCGACCAATCAGTAATCACCTGTGTATTGATACTAAAACGTTTTAATCTCCTATAAAGCCAATGTCATTCTTCGTTTATTCAAGGGAAGGTCAAAATTGGCACAGATACTAGAAACCAAGTAAATATACCTAGAGAATTTTTAGTATCTTTGCGGCATGACTTTGGATTTCATCTAATTTAATTTCTTTTTTTGATGTTTTTTTCCTTAGTATCATTTGGACATTTTCCGCTCTTTCAATAAACGTTAGCTATTTGTCAGACCATATGGCTAGTTTTGTCCTTCGACAATTTATGTACGCTTCAAAATATCACTGTACCAGCCTTCACTGAAATCCTTTAAATTATCTTCAATGTGAATGTTAGAAGAATATAGGTGATTTTTAAACAGTATCCTTCTTTCTACCGAATTCGAACCCAAATGTCTTGTAATCTGCGAATGAAATTTGCAAAAACCCATCYACAACATTACAAATGCAGATAGACTGTCAATCACTTTGATTGACTTTGTCCTAAATCAAGAAAGCAAACTTAGATCGCTAACGAATCTTCTACAACGGCTCCAGCAAAACGCAATCACAGTGGCGGCTATTGCACATCAAAGCCAAGATCTGGCGCATATGCAGACACATTTTATTAATCATACTATCCAGCATTCAGTGTCGATCCAGAATTGTTGAATTATCAACTACTCACCAAATATGACGAGAAATGTGCATGCCACATATTTATCACCACGATCACATTCAACCTCACAGCAATACGATCCACTTTTATCTTTATCAACATCAGGGATGATAATTGTCACATTTGATCCACCAATAACAGAGAAATGAGGAACTACATTTCTCATTGGATAATAATCTTGATCATTTGCGTCTCGAAAGAATAGATGTCTATTGTTGTAATAGATTCTATAGAAACCAAAGTYATTACATTCGTAATACCAATTGATGTGAACAGTAGAWCCAACATGTCCTTTCGTCCTYTGCGAAGGTWGTGAAATCCACTTGAACCCATCTGTTGGACACAACGTTTAAACATTAAATGTGATTTACTTTGTATGTCATATCTTAATACTGGGATACCTGTGATAGACCAGTCGTAAAATGCATTCGGCTTTTTTTCCTGATTCCTCCTCTACAAAATGGACTAGTACCCAGTATGCATTGCGGCATCGATCAATGGGGAGCATTATTTACGCTTTCATATTCTAGACTGATAGGGTCAAGAAGAATTGAACCCGGCGAGAACCAATCAGAAGTCTTATCTTAGGTGACGGAACAACGATTCTGCCGCTGTTTCTCAGACRGTTGTWATTTCGAGGAAATTATASCGGCTGAACGCAGGCTAAATGCAACATTGTTTAGTAGTGGAAAAAATGGCAGAGCCTGCAACTCTTTCAGAATTAGAGGGATAACACTTTAAGGGGGGACTTGATTAAGTCAATCCTTTTCTGTGAAACATTCCCTTATATTTTGGCTAACATTGCAAACTCAGTACAGCTGTATGTACTACCGCGAGTCTGTGCATGACACAGGCAGCCCAGTGAACGCCTATAGGGCGTCTTAGTTCTTCTAGGTGCGCAACCTTTACAGTACACGTAAGACTTATGTGAAAGTCKTTTAAATAAACCGTCAAAGTAGATCTGCACACTGCAATAACATCCCTTATTATATGGCATCAATGTTTCGCGCGCTCTGATTGGCTGCTTAGCGGGCAAGATTTTCTTGTAATGACCGGTCATTACGGAAATTGTTCTCGGCTTCATTCATGGCTCTTTTCAGTTGCAATCAAAAGCTACGAAAGCAAACATTAAATCAACCGAAAACATAAACAAAATACATTTATCTTTTCAAGAACTGAAAAACATTATTGTATAGCTTAGAGATACTTCTCAGTGTACAATGAGCGACGAAGAGAGCCACAGCGAAAGCGAATTTTACTATCCAGAGGAAGAAGAGGCAAAAAGTGAGCAAAACAACATGGCTGAAGTAACCAAAACCAGCACCATCAGCGACAAATGTCGTACATTTTGAGTTCTTCAAGTCACTCGCAAAATTCCAAACCGATAACTGCTCCTCCAGACAATAGCAGTGGCTAGTTATAATAACAAGTTCACAGCAGTCACACAGCAGCCTGAGTCTCCAAAACACGACGAATTCGCTCGCTGTGAATAATTCATGCGACCCAGCAGCTTTAAATGGTGTTTTTCCTGGAGCAAATATCAGCAGTGTCTCTCAATGTCAGTTCCAGATCTTCAATGGCCCAGTTAAGTTAATCCAACAAGGTGCAAAGCGACGTTATGTTATTGAGAGCGACGACGAAGAATAACACTTCACTGAAATCACTGCAAGTTCTCCGCATGTGTTCAAAATTCATTTACAATTTAGGTCTATTTKTTCTTCTAATTTTTTGAGTTTCTAAAAGTTCAAACACTTGTAAACACAGGTATCTGTGTTTTGTGAAATTAAAGTGTTCGCATTTTCCTAGATCCTGCCATAATAAAGACAAAAATGTTTTCGCTTTGAACAAAACCGTCTCTGTGAATTCGCCAGGATCGCTAGGCTTAGTGAACACGACCTCAACTTTGACCTTGCGTGCGCAAGCGGATGTTGAAAATTACTTCCGGTGTCCATAGTTAGGTATATTATTCATTAGAAATATAGCACTAAAAAAGGCCATATAATAAATAACTTATTAACCTCGTCCGTTCGGTCATTACAGGAAATCTCAGACCTCGGTCTTTTTTGTACGGACCTCGCTGCGCTCGGTCCGTACTGCCAAGACCTCGGTCTGAGATTTTCCTGTAATGACCTCACTCTCGGTTAATAAGTAGTATATATTTTGATAATGAATGGCATGTAATGCCTACTTTGTCAACTGGTATTGTCGGAAGCTCACCTGAACTGTACTACATGCATAATAAAACATAACAAGCCGCAAGCCGAATTTTAGGACACACGGTAGGATACCAATGTAACCATAGTAACGACCGCAAAGTCCGCAAAGTGTTAACCAGATTTGTATCGAAGTGTTTGTAAATCTTCAWGAGCTAGAAAGCAATCAGTCAGCGTCTTCAAGTTTATTCTTGAATGCTTGGATTTCAATTTTATTAGATTATTATTCCTTATTTGGTTGTTACCGCAATGAGACTCCGCGCCAAATTCGAAACTATATCCGCACTTCTTGTTTTTGAGCTCAGAAGTTTAACACTGGGTTTAACTATGCTTGGTTTAATATTAATCTAAGAACTAGTACCTCCAGTGTATTCCGACATAATTTTAATATCGGGAAACTGAAAGACTTGGATGCATAAGGATTTCTTCTTCTAAGGTTACCGGCTTAAT